GGGAATAGCCAGATCATTGAAATTAGGTCTTTGCCAGACATTAGAGCAATCCGTTTATTGGGCAAACAGCAATATCTGTCAACGACTTATTCATTACTGAGGCGTTTACCTCCTTTGGCAATGAATAAAATAGTTTGGAAACAGAACATGCCCCCAGGGAAGATGAGGGAGACTTGGTTCCTTGGCATATTGGCCAAGACACTAAGATTATGTCTCTGCATCTAGGCTGTCCCTAGCTCTGCTACTGACTGGGTGTGACATTGTCTTTCTGCAGCTCTGTTCCCCTACTGTAAAATGGAGCTGAAATTGCTGAGCCTCATAAACATTAGATACTACAGTGAACTGAATTTTTTGGATTGCTATGGCTGGAAATAGTTGAGACAAAAAAGGACCAGGACACAGCTACAGTGGATGATTTAGGAATAATTAAATTGATCCTGTCATGAGGCAGGATAGATGGATTAAAAGTGTCCTGGTAAAAGCCTAGTTAGGATGCGGTGTGGGAACAGATTAAATTTCCAAATAGGTGTCCTGCCGTTATGCAACAGAATGGGCTTGATTCCCTGCTAGAGTTCCCGTCCCACTTTGGAGGAACTGACAAGTGAGCTATGTGGGGCTATTCTCAAGCCAAACTGTTCCCTGCTTGTAAATAAACTCCTTGGTCCTTTGCAAACAGGGTTGAGCTTGGAGTAAGAGAAATAAGGTTCCCGATGGGATCAGGACTGGGGATGGACCAGGATACTGAAAACATGATTTGGAAGTGCTGAATTTTTTATGTTGTGTAGTAGCAACTTTGTGTTGTTTGAGGTTTTCGTTTTGTTTTTTCCCTTTTTCTGGACTAAGTGACAGCTGAGTGGTGATGGGGAACTCACAGGTCGGCAGTCTGCAAATGACTCCAAGGGGGAGAGATTGCATATTATGATAGGAGACTGGGACTGTGGAAGTGTGTGGAAAATTTAGGCTGACTGTCAGGGGAAAAATATTCTGTCAATGAGCTGTGTTGGACTTTGATTTTACTTCTTCGAGGAGATGAATAGAAACCCCAATTACTAGAAACACTTAGATTGGACAAAAACTAAAAAAAGGTCAAGAAGGCAATGATGGCTTTTTTTTTTTGGTCCTGGAGAGAGAAATTGTCTGAGTGCTTGGATCTCTTTTATCCCTAGAGTTTGAAATTCTACAAAATCAACAAAAACGAAAAATCCCATTGAAAACTGCAAATTTAGGAGTGTATTTTAAATAAAGATCTGATTGCAGGGAGGGTCTCCTGCATGCACATGCTGCTTTTGTTAATAATGTTATTGATCTTGTGGAATCCTTTAGATTTTTTAATATTGGAAGGTAATTTTGAAACTGTCTCTCTGTTTGTCCTATTGGGAATGTGTAGATGGATCCTCTGAAATTCTAATTTTGTTTTAGAAAATAATTTTAATTTTCCCCTCTTCTGCATTTTTCTCCTTTTGGAAGTATGTTGCCTATTTTTTGGTTTGATTGTTTATGTATGTATTTTAAATCAAGGCAGTTTTCCCAATGGAAAAAAACCCCAGCCTTGATCAGTAGATAACACCTGGTAATTATGGGTTAAAAGGGTTTGGACTAGACTGAGATTTGGAGGTAGAAAAGGTCTGGAATCTATTGTCATTTTCTGGAGATGTGGTCTCATCAGTCCAAGCTGCTAATTTTTTTTTTCAGTCCAGTTGTCCTGAGCTGGGAACTGGTGAGGCAGGCACAGGCTGTGCTGTTGCCCCTTTGGAACAGCTGGCAAGGTTTTAATGGATCATGGAACGATGGGTTGTTTGGTTTCTTTTCCCAAGGCAGAAGAAGGTAACTGGGACTGTGATTGGAGGTGTCCCATATCCTGGGGGAAATTGGTGAATAGGAGTAGTAAGCAGTCTGGATAAAAGGTTTTGTGGGCTTGTTAGAGAACTAGTAGTTGGCTTTGTGAAGAGGGTGAGGCCAAGGGTCAGCAATGTAGGCAGGATTGGGCACTCACAGATTTTGGGGACATGAAAGACTAAAAGCAGGGTGTTTCTTGTCAGCGCCTCAGAGTGGCTGTCACTTGAGTGTGCATATGGTTAACATCAAAGGGAAGGGAATTCTGTAAGTCAGGACTCAGGCTTCCTTCAGAGGAGGAAGTAATTCTCCAAAGGTTTTCTAGAAAGAAACAAGTTCTGAGAGGCAGTGTCAGGGTTAGTATTATCTCTGTGCTGGTGGTGGTGTTGGGAGGGATGAACTAGGGAGGAGACTGTCTACAGGGGGAAGTAGCTGAAAGTGAACGTGACTGTGACAGTATAAACACAGTGTCCTGGGCATTTCTGGTTGTTCCTTCACCCTCAGGCCAGATTTTTCATTCATCAAAACACAAGAAAAAAGTGTGTGTTTATTTTCCAGTTTCTTAGATTTTCATTTGCCTGTTTGTTCCTGCCTCTGACTGTTCCTCACTTGATTTCTTCCTCTGCTTTTTGATCAATGAGTTTTACTCCCCACCCCCACAGGACAATCTTCACGTCCTACCAACTGGAGGAACTGGAAAAGGCCTTCAATGAGGCCCATTATCCTGATGTCTATGCCAGAGAGATGCTGGCCATGAAAACAGAACTGCCTGAAGACAGGATACAGGTAATCCTACGTCTTCAAGCTCTTAGAACAACCCTCCTTATCCCACCTCTCCCAGACCTTGTTCACTTACTCCCAAAGGAGAGGAACACTTGTATGTTGCTGAATACAACTGCAGAGACCTGGATGCTCTTCACTATTTAAACCTCCAGGCAGCCATAGCATCTGTTGTTTGCAAACTTGTATTTGGTGGCTGCGCCATAGTGTGAAGATGTGGTGTGTCTTTGCCATTGTAATGAATTTTATGTGGTAATGTTGCTTTGTGTGTTGCTGTTGTGGGAGGGTATATTGTTCTGAACTGTCTGTGCATACATCCATAGCAACTGACACAAGATATATAGGATAGTTTATAACAAATTAAAACAGATAACACAGAAAAATAACTCACAAAAGAAAATTTGCAAAAAGAAAATTCAGAAATGGACTGGAGAGTCCTCTTGGCTTCCAAAGGTCTCTGTGGCATAGTTAAGAAGGAAATCTATAGAGATTAAATCCCTGAATTGGGAAAACCCTGCTTTCAGCCCAGTATGGGATGGAGCTGTGGGCCAGTGAAGAACTGGTCTCTTCTTCCAGGAAAGAACCTGTGGTCTATTTTAGGTAGTCTAGTGTTGCTGTTGATAAGATTAAGCATGAACTATGGTGTGAACAAGTTTCAGTTTTTGACAGAGGGCATGCCGGAGGAGGGGGGAGGCAGCAGAGGGGGCTGTTAAAGTGAAAACAGATCTTAAAGGAGCCTTAAGGATGCTGCAGGTAGCACCAGAGGCAGAGCAGGATCCTGCTAATGCGCACGTGAGGATCACAAAAGTAACTTAAAAGATACCTCTGCTCTCTCTTTCCAGTCTGCTTCCTCCTTCAGATCTCTACATTAACCACAGGAACACAGCAACCAAGTAGTGAGCCTGTGGCTTGACTCATTGCATCTCCTGTGTTTTATTGGCTGTCTGGGAGCTGAAACTTGGCCTTGTTCCCCTATGCATCAGCAATAGCTGCTTCTCGAGCTGCTGCAGAACAGCTACTATGTGGCTGAGGTTCCTCTTTTTTGATGTCACACAAGTCTCTTTTTGGGATTTTACTGTATCCCTTGTTTTCTTTAACTGGCCCCTCTGCCCCTGCCTCCCCCCCGCCACCCCACCATGTGCAGCCTCCAGCCTATGTGTCTTCCCCCTGCACCCAGGGAACCAATGCATCATTATACAACCATCTCTTCAGCCCTTTGTGTGTATTGTCTTTTTCAGAGGGGTTAAAGAGAGCTCTCGTAGAGCACTGATACTGTAAATTATAGGGAGATAAGCCACGGGAGGTACAAGAATGGGAAGTTTCTCTTAAATCAGACCACTTCGTTCCATTTTCTCTGTAGTCCAGATCCTGGCCAGACCTCTCCCCCATGTGTGCTAACTCAAACGTTCTGTATTGAGAAGGATCAGGACTTCATTCTTCTCCTGTTGTGCTGGCCTACCTCTTGATGACCTCACTGACTGGGCTTGTAGATGCCCTAAGCACTGTTAGGATTTTCAGCAGACCTGAGCAATAATTAATTGGCCCATTACCTGAAATAGGAACAGAATAAGGGCTCTTATTACTCATGATCCATGTTGAAGTTTCACCTTAATCAGTAAGTCCTGAAGCTTTGTCTCCTATGAAGAACAAATTAGATAGAGGGCTGGTTTTACACTTCTTGACTTTTTGAGGGGGGATATTGATTCAAAGTGTAAGAGACTGGAGCAGTACAAGTAGTCCTTTTAATATAAGGTCCAGGGGTGCATATGGGCAACAATTTTGGTTTCCCATAAAAAAGGCTGTCACCCTTTCTCAGTGTAGTGGTGAGCTTAAGTCAGAGATATAGCTGGCTTATCACAATGTAGAAATGTAGCTTACAGATCATGCCAGGCTGACTGACTGACAGGTTTCTGACAGACTGCAATTGACAAATGCCTTCACACACTTCAGATCATGGTTGCACAGGTAACTTTGATATGAAGATTATTTTTTTCCTGGCATTGTGAGTCAGTGGGATTTCTATTCTTCTTGGTCAGGAATGGAGAAGTGATAAGCAATTTCATTTCACTGAATGGTTCTCTATATTTTGCTGGCCAGTAAGAGGCTGCCAACAGTTTCTATGCTGCAGATTTTGATCCTGCATTTTTTGTTGCTGTGATCTTCCTGTTCAAATGGGACCAGACTAGACTTGTGCAGGAGGAGCTGTACACTCTGGGACATGGCTGTTACAAGCATTAGCTTTGCTGATTACACTGGTGCCCCAGCAGAAAGTGATCATGAATAACACTGGGTGGTTATAGGAAGTGTTCAAATCATAGCTTTTTGTGGTATTACTTCATGGGGAATGTGAGTATTTCATGCAAGATGAATATGTCATGTAAGAGAGCTCTTAAGAGCTCTGATGGGGAAGAACTTGGGTGACACGGCGATGTGTAAAGGGCCAGTACAGGACCATATTGTGTTCTTATAGTGTTTCATGTCTGCTATTTCATATCACAAGCTTCCACAAGCCTTGGAAAGATGATTCTAAAGGTTGGACAAGCTTCTTGATATTTAGTCTTGATTTTTCCTTTTCTTAATTCTGTCCCATTACGTTATTCTCCCATTCTCCAGCCTAAATAATATCTTGCCTGTTTCAAGTTCATACTCTCTTAACTTGTCTTCCCAGCTGTCACTCTCCAACCCTTAGTCACTGCTTATCCAAGCTGTGAAGATCTTTCTTAAATCATTTCTCATAAATGTCTCTCAGATACCATAATCATTTAGTTACTCTTCTCTGAACTCCCTCCAATTTGTCATCCTTCCTGATGATAAGGAACCACATATTAAGGGAGGGTCACATCAGTGCTTGTAACAAGAGTTTGACATTTTCCTGATTCCTGTGTATATGGGGCTCCAAATGGTGTTAGCCTGTTTTTACTTACATATTACATCGCAAATCTTTGGTTTATTTAATGGTTGCTCACAATTACCCAAGTCCTTGGGGACAGTCTCATTTCCTTATTTCGTTCAGTATTTTGGGTTACAATTTTTATTTCTAATGACATTAGCTACATTTTTATTTCCTGAGAGGAATTTCACTTTATTCCTTGCTTGCAGTTTTAATCTCTATTGCGCCCTTTGTAATTCTCTGTCATCACTAGAGTTTTCAGCTCCTCCCAATTTAGTATCATCATTGCATTTCATAAATATACTGCTCACTCCCTCTTAGCTCATTTAATTAAGATGTTGTATCATTCTGGTCTTAGTGAGAAACTGCGCAGGTTCTCACTGGACTGCTGCTGACACTATCCTTTGTTTTCATTTATGGCATTATTTTTGGGAGGTAGAAAGTAGAGAAAAATGTGAAGTTAAAATAAGAACAATGAAATGGAAAGAGGACATAAGAAATATTCACTTCTAAGGAAAACCTATAACAAACAGTAGTATATTCTGAGTAGGCATCAAAGGCTGAGAGAGTTAGTGATTTGGACCAATGCTTTGAACAGTTTTTAACAGCTCTTGGGTAAACACAATGAGATTAGATATTTGTCATTCTTTAGCTTCCTCATTGTAATGATGTACCTTCTTTTTGGACTGGATACCCATAGAAGAAACCTGAGGATTATTTCATGGGTAGCACTGGAGAGAGAGAGAGGAATAATTTTTTCCAGCTAGGCACCTCCTTCAAATCATACTAAATTTCACAAGATACACGTACAAATGTTGTCACATTTGGAAGAGTCTATAGCAGAACTGAAGTGACACTTGTCAAAATAAACTCAGACCTTTCTTCATAATCCAGGTGGCATCTGTAGGCTGGTACAGCCATGCCTTTGTCTAACACATCTAGACAATTTAGAATATATCAAGACTTCTCTAAACTTACTATTGTTCACTCTACCAGCAGGAATTCTCCCATCCAATTCTGTTATGGCAAAGATGGTGATCTCTTAATTATTTTGTGTGGGTTTATGTAATTTACCTCTTAGATTTATTAAAACACAATATTTACAAAGCCTGGTAATCATCTGATATTTAAAGTATCATTGCCCTGTAATAATTCGATTTGGGATTACTGAAATAATGGTGTATCAGTGTAATTGTATTCTTTACAAATTGATCAAAGGAATGTATCTGAGAAGTTTTAACAAAATATTGGGTAAATGTAATAAGACTATGACTGACCCTAGTCTCCATGTAAAGAATCAATCACAGGGAAAATAATCCCTTGAACTGAAAGGAAGGTATTTAAAGGGTTTGGGGTTTTTTTGGTAATTCTTGATATAACCATTGTATAATAAGCAGATGGCCTAAATATTTTAGAGCAGGTGAAATTGAACTTCAGAGGAAAAGAGATGTTTAAATGGTATATCTAGGGTTTGTCTGTTTAAGTACCCCAGGAAGGTACACTTGGAATAGTATTACATGTGGGTTACACTGCCTTTTCTTAATATCTCGTGATTATTCAGGATTTGTATAATTGCTGGAGTGAATCCTTCTGAGTTAGAGGATCCATAGTAAGAGCAATGATAAAAATCTTATTTAAAGCCAAGTTGTTCGGTTCATAACCATTAACAAAAATCAGGCCCCAGCAGCCATGATCTATTTAAAGTAAAGAATTTTGATCCAAACCCTATTGCCTGAAGGATAAAAATGGGGATTGTTCATTCAACATGGCCAATAATTCAGAGTATAAGGATGGAATTACTGAGATATTAATGGTGCATAATGAATTGTTGTAACATTCTAAAGTGTTATGAGGTCATACCTTTGCCACCGTCCTCCTCCCCCCCCTTTATACATTGTGCTTAATTGAAAGGGACCAAGTTAAAGAGAGATTCTTCCTACACGCTAAAATTCATGGTGATGTTATGCCCTGTTGAGAGGAGAAAAAGGGCTACGTGAAGCATGTTGTCCAGAGTTCTTTTCTGTTTTTGTATACTAGTGATACTGGGACATGGTTGGTCATAAACTTCTGTATATTCTGGTAGCATGTGGTATCTGCTGATGTTGGAGTTGGCAGC